ACGGCACCCATTCACTGCAGAGCATCCATTGCTGAGACACTGATGCAATGCTACATTTCTACAAACCTGATGAAGAAACAAACTCATCCTGATCTCGGATGGTCTGAGGGTGAGCACTTTTTTATTTTTGGCTGAACTATTCCTTTAATAACACACAGACTAGAGCTTTAGCGCTGGCAACCCATTTCACTTCCATAACACAATGTATTTCCTAGTTATTCAACAAGCTGTTTCAAATTCAAGAGCAAGTTACTCGATTTAGATGATTATGTAGATATTGTTTTCAATAGAATAACAGCACAATCAGAGCAGGAATCTGAATCAGTGTTTTTTCCCGTAAAGGAAACATGTTTCCTCCTGCCACATTCCTGCTGCGTGAGCTTGCTGTGAGTCCAGCGCTGCGGTATGTGCTTCTGTTTGTTATTCCAGTGCCACACATCCCACAGTTTTTACTGCCACAGAAACAATGAGAATCCCCTCCGCAGGAACAGCTCAGCGTTTGCTCTTCCACACATCAGATGAGGCTTCATGCGGTTTATACTAGCTCGTATGAACACAACCTCAGATACTTCTCCATTCTGAGAAATAGTCATCATCCAGTAAGAGTTAAGAGCTAGAAAAAGTGATTATAGAGAGAGCGCATCCAGCTGACAAAAATATATTCTAAGAACTTTTGCTAATGTTCCCATTAAAGGTATAGTTCATCCAAAAATGACAATATTGTCAACATTTACTCACCCTCATGTCTAAGTTTCTTTTTTATGTTGAACACAAAAGAAGATATTTCGAAGAATTTTGAAGAACCGAACAGTTGTTTGTCCTCGTTGACTTCCATAGTAGGGAAAGAAATACTATGGAAGTCAATGGGGACCGTCGACTGTTTGATTACCAGCATTCTTCCAAATATCTTCTTTTATGTTCAACATAAGAAAGAAACTCATACATGATGACAAAAATTTCATTTTTGGGTGAACTATCCCTTTAAGTTACAAAAACGTTATTTCTGAAAGTTCAAAACGTTTTAGAAATGGTTTTTTCTTGGTTATTTGAACATTTAGGGAACATTCCATTTTGTATCATTTTGCAAACATTACAGGAACGTTACTTTTGAATATTCTCCGAACATTCCGAAACAAGTAGCAACATTTAAAAAATGTTACACGAATGTTACAGAATGTTCAGAGAACATTCAAAAGTAACGTTCCCATGGCGACTGCATGGAACGGAATGTTTCACAAGAAAAAAACTGTGCTTCCATTAAGTACAGAAATAACTTAATGGAAACGTTCTTAGAACATATTTTTGTAAGTGGGGTGTGAGATTACTGCGGTCTTTTTCTCTCCGTCTCGTTTCGTTCCTGCGGGAGGCTGTAATTGTTGCAGGGCTCTTTTTTAATGGAATCTCTCGGCTCTGCTGACCTGAACGCCGGTTAACTCCATCGGAAAGCGCCGCTGCTAACAGATCGTGTTAACATGCTCGCTCCTTCAGATCTAAAGGTTATTAGTTTAGATTTATTAGTCAATTAAGAGCGTGCAGAATGTAATACGGCGGCGTTCGGCGGAAGATGAATGCTGAAGGCTGAAGGAATCGGGACTCACTTCATACTGTTTGATTATGCCGTACGTCTGGAGCGGTTCTCTCCATCTGAGCGCGATCTTCTCCTCGTACGTGCTTCCTTGGATGGACTGCTGCGGAACGGCGCCGGGAACTGGAAACACGAGAAAACACAAGAAATGAACAAAAGAGCGAGACACAGAACTGATCAGAGTCTGCTGATCAAACCCGCATTGATTTGAAGAGACTCTGATGTGTTTTAAATCAATATTCTCTTGTATTCAATATGTAATGCTAAGCTGAACGGCCTCCAAGCATGAGAAGGATAATTCATCTATTCAGTCAAAGGAATATGGACACGACCCAAGGCCTGCTTGCTGTTCCTTGACCTCTGAGCATCTCTCCAGAGGTTCGAGCTTCAGCCTTGACAGCAGGCTTGTTGTGTTTTCAAATGTTCCTCATCAAACACGCTGTTTAAACGGACGCTATTGTCTAGGAGAAATAACACACTTAACACTGAAACTTGACACGAAGAAGAACCCAAGCCATTCATGAATGCAAATGGAACATTATCAACACTAATGACCTTATTCATGATGAATAAAAAGTGTTTTCACAGGGTTTTATTAAAAACAAATGTAAAAGACCAAGAACATTTTATAAATTAAACTAGAATCATGTCTGAGGCCACAGCCAAATCAAAAAACATTTCTTTTATTATTTAAAAAAATAAATAAAACATTTTATAATAATGTTAATTTTTATCATACGGATATTTTGTGTTTGCAAGAAAATGTAGGAATTAAACTTGAATCATATATAATGCTACAGCAAGAAAATTCCAATAATTTTTTTAAATAAATGTCAATGTTTATCATACAGACTCCTAATATTACATTAAGTTAAATGTGTTGTTAAGATTAAATTAATTTTGTTTTAGCAAGAAAATTTATGAATTAAACTTGAATTATGTCTGAGGCTGCAGCCAAATCATTAAAAAAATATAATTATAATAAAATGCATTTTTTTACTAAAATGTTTTATAAAACTCTTAATATTACATTAATATGAATGTTTTGCTTTTGCAAGAAAATTCATAAATTTGAAATCATAAAACAATAATAATAATAATAAATTTTTTTAAATAAAATGTTTTGTCAATCATTGCACGCACGCACACACACACACATATTTATATATTATATTATTTAATTTTTTTACCAAAAGTTTTTTTTTTTTCAGTTTTATCAAAAATATCAATGTTTACCATACGGACTCTTAATGTAACCTTAAGATAAATGTTTTTGTTCTTAACATTTTTTTTTTTTTAAGGGAATTTAAAAATTAAACAAAAAAAAACATATGATAATACAGCTAAATCATAAAAATACCAATAAAATGCAGTTTTTTAAATAAAACATTTTATACAAAATGTCAATGTTTTTCATGTGGACTCTTAATATAACATTAAAATGAATGTTTTTGTCTGATGCTGCAGCCAAATCCTAAAAGCACCAATAAAATACCTTTTTCTTTGTTTTTAATAGAAGGTTTTCTGTGTAAATGACTCTGAATGTAGCATTAGGATGCATGTGATGACTGACCGTCCTCGTCGGTCAGCACACGGAGCTCCTGGCTGTCTTTGACTCCCTCGCGGTTGCGCAGCAGCAGTTTAATGCTGACGTTGGTGTAGGGCTGCAGGCTGCGGATGGTGTGCTGCGGCGCGGCGTTCAGAGTATCGTAGCACGTCTCCTCGTGCGTCTCCTCTTTACCGTTAGCTGTGTAGCGGTACTGCACCGTCAGATTGTAGCTGTAGCAGCGCGTCACGTTGTATCCAAACGGCTCCCAGCGCACCGTCAACTGCTTGGATTTGATGTCGACGACCTGCAGCCGCCGAGGGCCGTGCATGGGATCTGAAACACAGGAGAACCGCATGCACTGCGCTTAATAAAAGCCTAGAAAACTTCAAATGCAAGAAAAACAACATTTTATCAGTTGCATTTTAAGTTTCATGTAATTCTAAATGAGATCTCCATTGTTTTTGTACCAAAACATATGACCGAAATTCTAAAATAAATGAAAAAAACTAAATATATCATCCACAATCATCTTCAAGGACCGTGCATGTGATCTGCACAACACAAGAGAAATAGCTGCATTGTAAATACATAAAAAACACATGATGCACTAAATTAACAAGCAAAAAAACTGAAATAAAAATTATATATATGCACTGCGCTTAAAGGGTTAGTTCACCCAAAAATGAAAATTAGGCTGTGTTTTACTCACCCCTGAGGCATCCTAGGTGTATATGACTTTCTTCTTTCAGACGAATCCAGTCGGAGTTATATTAAAAATTGTCTTTGTTCTTTCAAGCTGTTTAATGCCACTCAGCAGATGTTGCATGCATCAGTCCAAAAGAAGTTAAATAAAAAGCGCCCATCCATAAAAAAAAGTGTCTCACACGGCTCCGGGGGGTGAACAAAGGCCTCCTGTGATGAATCGAAGCGTTTTTGTAAGAAAAATATCCA